ACATGAGACAGATAATGTGTGAAACAATCAGGTTCTTCTTGCTCCTCCTAGTGCTCCTAATGACATTGTAAGAATCCCCTGGGCCTGAACGAAAACAACCAATCAGAGCTGAGAGAGATAGAAAAACACTTTTGGTTGGTGGCTTGAAGTTGATTGCTGAGTCTCCCAGCGTTGGTATGTGACGACCTGGGAATGAGACTCAACAACGAACTGTCTGTCTTGGCTCTGATTGGTTGTTTTCGTAAATTCGTAGATTCTTGCAAATGCCATTAGATATGACAAATAGTTATTTTCATAAAAGTTACTGCAGCTTAAAAGTATTCTCAATGCAGTAACGTCAAACATAGATTTCTTTCAAGCAGCACCACAATCTTACACAATACACCCCGCTTGTTTCCTTGATTCACTGACACAGGATGCTCACATTGATTTAATATTGAAATCCAAGATGCCACTTTTTAGGGCTGCACCATTTAATCAAAGGGAAAATACTATATTCTTCATTTAATACACATTTTAATGTTAAAGGAATATGGGTATGACATATATGGGAATTTTGGTAACCTTGGGGTCTTGACTAAATCGTAAATGGAGTGTAAACAGATGCAGGTAATTAACCCACTGAAAGGTCCATATAATTGATGAGGTTAAGGAGACACTTGACGATCAGTACAAAGCAAGATCAGTCCCGCTGTCTCCAAACGGCAGCTTCACTGCTGGCTGCTGTGTGGGATTAGACCTGTGATCACATAAAACAATTTTGAACAAGTTACTACCAATGGTTGTTAGTAAAGGCCTCAGTTTGCTTCAAACAAAGTGCTTGTCGGATCGCCCGACGCCTTGATTCCACTAGGTTTTGTTTTGTCCTCCACACAGCTTCATATCCCGCCAGGAAGGGTGGAGTGTTTTTCCTACCTGATTTTGTATACTTTAATTTAGTTCATTTTCATTAATTTGCTCATTTTTTGATGTTTTTTCATGTCTTTCTACTGGGGCTGTGTACTGGCAAGAATCTGGCAATACGATACGTATCATGATACAGTGGTTGTGATATATTATAGATTAGGGATGGTACAATATTATCGCATATTGCGATAAAAAACACTCAGATTAATTCATTGTGGTGAATTTCCATTATCATGATCAACGTGATACTCGTGAACAAAGGGACAAGGGGGAGCCCGCATCTTTCCAGACATTCCAAAATCCTAAGCCTGTCACCATGGCTGAAGGCTCGCCTGTTGTATCTCCCACAAACAAGCTTAAACCGGATGTGTGGAGATAGATTCCAAAATAAAGAAAAAACAGGTAGATGAGGTTCCTATCTGTGATGCAATAAATATGTGTGAATAAATATGTGTTATATGTGGCGGCTGTGGCTCAGAGGCAGAGCGGGTTGTCCACTAATTGGAAGGGTGCTCAATATATCAGAATTACTGAATCGTAATCCCTTGTATTGTGATGCATATCGTATCACCAGATTCTCGCCAAAACACAGCCCTGTTGTACAAACTACTTTGTTTAAAGCATACCAAGGCCTTAACAGACACACACTCGCCTCCGCCCCATGTGCCTGCTGTTTTGGACCTGCTGTGTTACCATGTGTACAGTGCTACCATGAGCTCAGGTTAACATAAACCACTTTCCATCAGTGTCACTTTAGCCCTTGAAATTGCTTCATCTAGGTGGAGCTCTTAGATCAATAATGTGTCTCTCTAGAGAGATCGTCATGAACAAACACCCTCTTCATATTCTTTAACAGCAGGGCAGAGCAGTCACCAACATTCTCTGGTCCATTTGTACAACGTCATCCCCTTTGTTAGTTCAGGTTAGCTAGCTAACACTGATGCAGTTTTATGTCAAACATTTTGTTTGATAACCACAATGATGGAACTCCTGTTGTCCCTTCTGGCAACATTTAAGCCACTGCTTTTGGTCCACAGATGGTGACGATCTCCCAGCTGAGTTTTGTATTTGAGATGGATTGAAACCTCCAGTCTTATCTGATCACAGCCTTCTCCATCTCAGAAGGGCCACTGATGTTGAACCATACACTGCTGGTTCAGGAAAATTACAGCAACTATGATTCCACAGAGCATCCTCTGGCCTGTTCGGGTCTGACAATGTATGATGTCTGTTCTTTGTGTCCAAATTCACCAGTCCCTCCATCCTACGTGACGTACTCCTCATCATCACTAGGTTCTGATTTGATGTGGTCTGGGTGAAGTAGAGGAAAGTGTGGTGCTGTAGTCCTGGTACAGACATACCACTCCTTAATGTTAGACAACTGAGGTAAGGCTGGGTTGACTGAGCGCTGGCTCCTCCGCGGGGTCCTGCCGCTCTGCTGCTTGTGGGCCAGCTGACTCTTCAGGCCTGACAGAGAGAGATCCAGAGGCATTGCCATTGGAGATGAACTCCGCAGCAGCAGCTTATGGTCCACTTCAGCAGCTGAGCTAATGTCCAATTCGTGACTGGACAGAAGAGGAAAGTGAGCGTTTCTGTTGGCAAGCGACGGAGAGAGGCGGTTAATTTTAAGGTCAAGGGGCTCAAGGAGAGCCTGATGAGGTTGTTGAAATTGATGAGGGATGGAGTCGTACGCGTCCTGGGGTTCAGAGGTAGGTGACAACTTGACGTGGACCTTCATGTGTTTGCGTAGAGAGCTGGGGTGGGTGTAGGACTTGGTGCAGCCCAGAGCCTTGCAGTCGTAGGGCTTCGAGGCTGTGTGGACCTGCGAGTGCTTCTTTCGGTCGCTGCTGTTGGCAAAGCGTCGCTCACAGAATTCGCACTGGAACGGCTTCTCTCCTGCAACACAAATATCATAGTCACCATTATTACAGTCTAGAATGGGCCAACTATTGTTAAATTTTCTTCACCCCTATTAGACATACCCAAACATTATTCTTTATTTAAAGGCCCAGTGGATAACATTTAGGAGGCTCTATTGGCAGAAAGGGAATATAATACTCTAGGTATGTTTTCATGTTTTGTTACCTTAGAATAAGCTGTTTTTATCTAAAGAGGGATAGAGGGTACAGAGTATGGCAGAGTCCGCCATGCTGAACTGCCATGTTTTTACAGTAGGCCAGAACAGACAAACCAAACACTGGCTCTAGATAGGGGTGGTTTTTTGTAGTTTCTCCTTCGTGCATGGAAGGGGAGGGTGAAGAGTGAGTTGCGATCTGCAGCTAAACTTTTGGATGCCACTAAATGTCACACACTGGACCTTTAATGCAACTGAGCACAATTTGAACTTTCCACAGTTCATACAGGTTTTTAAGAGTAAAATTTTAACACTTTTCAAGCATTTTCAAGGTACTCAAACTTTACTTTCCCTCCTTTATAAAAAGGAATTTAAAAAGCCTTTATGATCACATCTAAATTGTTACTATAAATGCCAAAAAAAATTGTATTCCTTTATACCCACACCAATCTATATCAAAATATAAATTGTGTTTATTTTGCCAGCAGTTCATATTAACTTTGATTGTTTGTTTTGATTGTGATTATTAAATGCTTGCTAATTTCCAGTAAGTAAGGCAGTAACTGGATTGGAGCAGTGAATGACAAGTGAACACGCCAGGAGACAGAAGACTGAACAAAAAAATAAGACGACGGGATTGTTCCATTTCAAATATTAAGAGATTTCTGGTTTATATGAGTGACTGTAGAGTGAAGAGTTTTGGAAGGAGACGATTAATAAGAAATCTTGAGGATTGTTTAGAACTGCTGTTTGTAAATGTTCCTTCAGTCACCATGGAACTGTTATTTCACTTCGACCAATCAGATCTTAATTTAAGAGCGAAGGAGTTTAAATTATGTATATTATAAGCAAAGTTACGTATTGCCTTAAACTGGAAGAACCCTTAATAAGACTGGTTAACAATATGGCTTACTGTATCAAATTGAAATAAAATACCATACACTTTAAGGCTGAGTGTTACTACTCTACTCTACTAATATTGGGAATTGGGTAATGTTAAAATATAAATGCAGTGGTATATATGTCAATGTGAAAAATGTTCCCTTTTCCTCCTCCTTTTTAAATGTTTTTTTTTCTATATTGTTTACAAAACAGGTGGTAAAAGTAGGGAGGGGAGTTGCCGCATATTGCAGTTTATGTGACGGGGGATGGCATGTTTGTCTGTTCAAATATTGTCAAACCAGTGACATGAATAGTAACTTTTTTTAAATCCTCACTACGATACTAACAGTATAATAGTCATTATGATGATTAAACTTTTATATAGCACCTTTGTTGTCAAATGTTTGCAGAGAAAAATACATGAAATAATTTAAATGATTACAGAGGAATAAAAGAGATTATAGGTTGAGTTTTTCAAACTCAACCCAATTCAGTTTCAGTAAAACGACAGCGAGATGGAATTCCTCTGACTAGTCTTTGCAATTGGGGGTGCTACTTCAACCTTAATAAACAATAACAGGGGGTGTATCTTATAAAAAACACTATAAAGAAGATATAAATATCTAAAGAATATAAATGATACTAAAGCTGTGTACCAGCCAGCCTGGTAACACCTTATCTGGATAGTCGAGTATTTGTAACATTTGCTTTGTCTGACGTTTAACAGATTATCTACATTATATGTATTCATGAACATACAAGATGTTTTTTGTACTTAAACCTAACCAAACCTTAACCACAGTGGAGTAACATCAGAAAACGCTGCTTTAATCTGCTTCTAATAAGCTGTTGATGTTACAAATACTCTGCTCATTACATTTTGCAGGCTGTCCTTTGGTGGGCCTGCTGAAAAGTGTTTCTAATATTTTGTCCACCTCATTTACATGATAGATGGTACCACTTTCCAATGAGGCACCCTTTACAATGGCTGTATATTTAGTAACTAATGGGTTTATTTAATGTATTAAATAATTTAGTACTGTTTTTAGCCGTTAACAACAACTTTTGGGTTTCCGAGTTGTGGAAAATCCCCCTGGCTGATATTCATCCTCCTCCATCAATGCACTTGTTTGGTCTTTTTAGTCATCTCTCCTTTCGCTCACACTGTCTAACAAGACCATGACATGATCCCCTAAAAATACAAAAAGATACTGGTCAAAGGGATTGTTCACAACCTGGCAACCCAACAGTTGCTCTTACTGATGATGACTAACTGATCTATAAGGCATGATTACATTATTTACCACAGGCCTGTCACCACAATTACGTTATCGACTTGTTGTAAGATACATGGACATGATGTTGTCACCAACATTTTAGGCATCGTGGTGCTGTGTTTCCCCTTCCATTACAGGCCTGGGTTCAGTGCTGAAGCTGCTGCAATCCTCAGTGCTCCATTCTGATTATTTGCTCAGATCTTTTTTTTTCTGTTTGGCTGTTCATATTATGTGTTAAATGTGGCCCATATCAGATTCCAGTGTGAACAGGTCACAGTCCTGAAGTGACCCGCATGACGAATGTCAATCTAGAGCACTGGTTCCCAACCTTCTTTCTCAAGTGATCCCTTATTGTGACATTGATGGATATTAACAGTATAGAACTACCGATAAATTGTACAATGAAACCAAATAGTGAACACAATATTGCAGGAATGTTATGGAAAACGAGCGGTTTGGATGAATTTTAAGCTTTCATATATTTTTTTTTACAATTCTTTTTATTTTATATTTTATCTAAGCAAAATAATTCTTTCAGTTTTCTTCACAGATTGATAAAACGCAGAGACAGAGGCCTATGGGTATATTTTTAAAGTTTTCATACACCCCTTAAAATCAAGAAGGCCTTGCAACTCGCCATGAAGCTTTGGCAATTTGGCCCCTAGTGAGGGTCCCGACCCCCAGGTTGAGAACCACTAATCTGACGTAAAAGTCACATGAATTTGGATATGGATGTTCACACTGAGGTCGCATTGCAAAAAAAATAAAAATAAAAAACGGATCTGTATCTGATTTAGACCACATATGAAAGTGGCCCAAATCAGAATTAAAAAGATCAGATTCCACGTGATTTGTGCTGCTCACACTGTCGTGACAAAATCTGTTCTGAGTCCCATATGAGCAAAACAATCTGATTTGTGCCTGCAGTGTGAACTGAAAAAAAAAAAAACTATCACAAACTATATCACATTCCAATGTCAATATTCTCAAGAATTAAAAGTACATTACTCTTACAAAGGGTGATTTTGCAATATTATGCTAATCATTAGGTCAGTGACATAAATTCATCTTAAAATGCCAAAAATATTGTTTATCACAATTATTTCTTGGACATTAAAAATAGTTACCAGACAGGCCTAATAAACCAATAATGAAGCCTTTAGATGCAGCTTATAAAGCCTGCATTAAGGCTCTGTAAGTAGTAGGGCTGCACAATATGGTACAAACATCACACTGCCATTATTTTGACAGATTTTGCGATATGACTCATGTACTCAATTTCATTTTCACTGAAAAAAACTATTGAAATCATGATGACGTGTTGGGCTCTGTATCAAACAAACATGTTTTGTAGGCCAGGATATCTCTGCAGCACTACCGTACTTCATTATACACTGTACATTCTAACAGCAGGTCTTAATAAAAGAAGTAAACTAACACAACACAATCCTCAGTTACTCATTCCCATGGATTAAACTCAAAAATGAACTGTGCAGTATATTAAGTATTGGTGATTTAATTCCAGTTTGTTGCATTGACTCATTTTCTTTAAGTTGACTTTACATCATTACAAAAATTAAAGCCCCAAAATTAATTGGCTACCATTTTAATAGTGGATTAATTGAGTAACTGTTTTTTTATACATCATACGTATCTAATAATTAGGTTTAGTGGAAGAAAACTGAATAAATTAAATTTCAGTGGTAACATTTGTATAAGGAAAATACATTTAAGTTAGTCCTATTTTATTCATCTAAATTCTGTTTAAACATATTAAATAAGTTTGAAGAAATACAGCACAATATAACATACTTATACTAGTATACTTTAGTAAGTATAATTAACTTAATTTACCTTGGCTTAAGAATAAATGAGTTACTTGTACATCTAAACTGGTTAAGGCAATCGGTTTCCTCAACTATTTGAGTTCAACTAACTCATCAGGTTTTAGTGTAAAGCTGTTTGTCACACATTCGACCTTTATCAAAAACTTGGAGCTTCTGTGATTTGTGAATTTCTCCTTGGGGATCAATAAAGTATCTATCTATCTATCTATCTATCTATCTATCTATTATTCGATATTGCACATGACCCTATAGCAATTCATTGTGCAGCCCTGGAGTGTAGAAGGCAGCACTGTGCTGACCGATAGCCGCACTGATATAAATGCAGTATGACTATTTAATAAATGGGGCAGCTGAGTTTACTCAAACTGCACACGCTGTCGTAGAATAGTTCTGTGACTGATTCTGGGTCAGTGGGAAAAACAATACAACCCCTGCAGACTAATACTTTGCATGCAGACTGCTAATTAAAATGATAATTACAGCCATGTGTGTCTCAGCCCACTCATTTCTGCTGTGTACATCTAATCAATCTGATTCCTGCACCCATCCTCTCCCATAATCCAGCTGCTCTGTGCTGCTTCCTGTCACCTTGCATGACTCCTGAGTGAGCTGCGGTTTCCACCCGTGCTTCCTCTAGGAAACGAGGAGGCAACGAAGGGCGGATATGAATCGGTACTGAACCGAGCCTACGTAAACATGGAGGGGATTCCTAGCAGACTGGGAACAATCTCTATTAACCTCTTTATTCTCGGTGTCTGTCAGGAGGGGCTGCTGTGTTGACACGGATTTAAACCTTCTAATGGCCGTATCACAGCGCTCCGCGTGTGCTCACACAATCATGAAACCCTACCAGTGTGCGTGCGCGTGTGGATCTTGAGGTTCTCGGAGCGTGCGAACATCTTGCCGCAGTTGGGAAATGCGCATGAAAACGGCTTCTCCCCGGTGTGCACGCGAATGTGGTTGATGAGTTTGTATTTGGCTTTGAACGCCTTCCCGCCGCGCAGACACTCGTCCCACATGCAGACATGACTGAGGGTCTCGAGCCCCGCTGCTACATGCTCGGTGGTGACGTGGTCCACCAGCTCGTGCATGGAGCTGAAAGTTTGGTCGCAGACGGATGTCGCCGTCCGCCCAAGCCTCTGTCTCTTAGAAGTTCGGTCAATCCATTTGCACACCAGCTCGGTTTTGACGACGGGGCCTTTGGAGAAATCCAGCAGGCCGTCCATCCCACCGCCGGCACCGCTGTCGGCAGAAGCGGAGACACTAGTGGCTCTCGGCTGGGGCGGTGAGACGATGCTCGAAGCCCCGGAGTTGTTGTTCCCCAGCGGAGAGACGAGGCCATTGTGCCTGGCCACTACAGCCGTCCGTTTCATGCTCAGCACGGCGGGCTGCCCCGCTCCTGACGCCGACTACAATCCTCTCTTCCCCGTAAAATGAGTTAAATCCCACCGGCAGAGCGTTCGACGCTGTCCCGCTTCCTTCCTGTGTGTTTTGGTGAAAGGGAGAGCGCATGCGGCAGTGTCTTTACCCCCTGCTGTTCGGTGTTAGATCCCGAGAGTCAGAGCCTCCATGCTTTTATTTACTGTGTGAATGGAGGTGAACAGAGTCGAAGGAATACAGCGGGCCGCGACCTAACACTGTCTAGAGGCGTCCTTGTCTCCTTTCCTTCCTCATTCCTTTCTTCATTCCTCTTCTTAATTTAGCAGACCCATAAAGTTGTGATACAACAAGGGTTGCAACAGTATAAGATTTATGAAAATACCACAGTATGACAGTATTACACAATTATTATTATCATTATATCATTATAATAGGAATGAAACACAAACAAACAAAACAAAAACGCTTTATTGTAATATCACAAAATGGTATCATATTTTTTATGATAAGATAAGATTAGATGCTCCTTTATTGATCCCCGTAGGGGAAATTCGAATTGGCACAGCAGTACAGGGGGATGTAGTGTAAAGAGTAAAAGAGAATGAAATACAATAAAATATAAAAAATGTACAGTAAAGTAGAATATAGTAAGCCTGTGTATATCTGTACATGTGCAATGTGTCTAAAATATTGTGCAAAGAGTTGTGTTTGACAGGTTACTTTTTTAGTATCACCAATGCAATAAAATTCTGTAAATAAGCAAACAGGATATCATGGTATCAGTATACTGCTGCAACCATAAACAACTTCACCTTCAGTGATTATACTCTCACATTATTCATAGATACGTTTGTCAACCTGACATTTCATGGAAATTTGTCTTGAAATGACAATATATAAAAGCTAAATATAATATGTATAGGCTAGTATTTGTGAAACCAGAATTAAAATGGCACACACTTATGTTTGTCTGGTTTGTTTAAGTAAAATTGTATTTATAAGGAATTGTAAATTTGGAATTTGGAAATCTGCATATATGAAAATAGCTTTGGGGAGAAAGAAATAACATATATAATATATATATATATATATATAAAAATTCCAGATTCTGACCTTATTCTTATTTTCATATAGTTTTGGAAATCATTCCCATCAGAACAGTTAACTCACCAATTTTCATTGATTTATTATTAGTTATTATCTTTTCTTTTTATTGTCAACAATCCTAAAGAGACCAAAACCAATAATGAATCTATAATCCATCTATAAAGCATGAAATACCACTGTTGTCCAGAAATTATTAAAACACTTCGGATAAGCATACTGTTGTATGTTTGGGGTTTTTGTGCATCACAAACACCAAAATGACCCTTCTGAATAAGAAGTGAAAGAGCTGCTGTTGCACTAAACCACAGATGTTGATGGATAAAAGTAAGCAAATATACTGTATTTAATAATGTAATAATGAAAACATATGATATATAATAATGTTAAAAACATAATAATTGCAAAATGATCTGTAGGGTAAATGCATTGTTCTGCACAGATGTGGTTCTTTATAACTGCACGTTTAAAGTGGTCACAAAGTGCAGGAGAACTGAGTTCTAAGGCTACTTTTGGAAGAAAAAAATGATGCTGGAAATAAAGACGTTATAAAAATGAAGCTGTAATTTTAAGTGAAAAAGTAAATATAAGGTACATGTGTTAAAAGAAATATCATGAGCTAACTAACCAGCTAACAAGTAATCTAATGATTAATGTAGATTAGCTAGCGTTTTGCTAAGTTTAGCTAACTGAAGATGCAATATATATATATAGGCCATGCCTCTTATATCTTTTAACCATCTTCAAAATGTGGTTGTCATAGACGGCAAAAAGGGGTGGGAGAGGTCAATTATGTAAAACATGTAAAAAGCAGAAAATCTTCATAATTGATTGGAACCAGTGAATGTTTGGCAGATAGCTATAACTATTTTTTGTCGGTTAACTATACAATTGTTTCAGCTCTATAAAGCCAGACTAAAATGCTGTGCAAAGTTCTGTCAGTTTTTGTTTTATAAGCAATTTTAGCAAAAATAAAGACAGAATTAGTAGAAACTTGTCCTAAACCAGGAAAGAGTGACATAAATGATCTGTAACATAATGGCTGCCAAGATAAGCTCAAAAGCATTTCCACAGCATGAATTCCATTAGTAGAACAGTCATTAAATATTCACCACTGTGTTGCCCCCAGTTTCTCTTTAAACAGACTACTGTTCTCCCTCATTAATTAATTCAAATCCCCTGTACTTTCCTGTTCTTTCTCTCATTATTAAAGCTGCTGTAAGGGATTTTATTTTGTTAAAATAAGTGTTAAATAGCTCTACATTCCAACAGTCATCATTGATATAGAGTGTTCAGTCAGTAACTTGGCTCTCCCAGTCCCTCCTTTCTGCAGTAAACAGAGAATATATGTTCTAGTATCGTGTTCCCTATTTATCCAATCAGGAGAGAGAACTCCACAAAGAGGCAGTCCTCAAGGGCAGGCAGCAGAATGTGGATGTAGGGATGCTGGAGGTAATTTTTGCCTATTAATGACCTTTCTATGGTTTGATGTTTGAACTAAAACCACCAACCATAGCTGAACGTTCACTCACACTCTCAGTGGTGCTAGGTGAGCTAGCTAATGTCACAGCTCCGCCGAGGAGGACGCCGTTAATGTTTACATCCTGCACTCCTGGAGTGGATGAACACTTCCTTACGCACCACGATACGTAGAAAGAAAATAGTTATTGCATAAAACTGCTCACAACAAGGTCTGTGGATTATCTTGAATAACCAGGTCATGATATCTGGAAGAGACACTGCTGTTGAGTTTTTCAAATAAATGTTTCTTTTCTTTTTTTTGAGCACCACAAGCCCAGTGCCAACTGGTTCCGTTGTATTGGAGAGAAGGCAGACATCTCTATGGCCGATGTTTTCACAATCCAAATGGATAAATAGCAATACAGGTAAGAGGGAAAATAAGTATTTTATGGGGAGCTGTCCCTTTAGGTCACAGGTAAAGGAACATAGCAGGTTGGTTACTTGGTATTAGTGAGAAATGAAAGCAAAGAGAGTATGAAATGCAGATGCGGTGTAGGGGTGTGTGAATAATATATGGGGAGATCAGTGGTGTGACAACATCCGTCCAACTTTATCTGTTACAGCATCATTCTGAACATAGCTGATAAATGACCATCCATTTCACTTATAGTTTTACTTAATGAAACTTCCACTTGATCTCCTATCATCACCCTCTTAACGTAGCAGAAGTCTTCTCATGCAAATGTCTTTAACACTTTTTCCCATTTTCACACTTTGCAGTACAATAAAAATGTATCTGAGTGTGGGTGAAATTCTTTATTGGTTCTTTGGTGGAAAAATAATGTGGTACAAAAGCTGTATGAATGTCTGAATTGGTCTACTCTATGCTTACTGTAGGTCTTACATGTCAATGACAGTTCATGGGTTCACAGAAAGACCTGCACACAACAATAACATGAATGAAAACAAATGTCAACAGGGCATCTCAAAAAGTGTACTAAAGTACAGGTGCAGCAGAGTGTAGTAGGGGTTGTCAGTAAAGTCATCTTTGGTAAAAAGAATACAGTTCATGCTCTGATATGCTTGCTTATGTTTCATCAAATAAGATGACTGAAGGCCACACAAACTGTAAAAGACTTTACCAACAGTGGTCCAGCTTTTTCCTCTGTATCTTCTGTGTTTCTTTTATATTTATGTCTTCCTGCTCAATTATTGTTTTCATTTGCACTAGATATGTGAGTGAGTGATTGTGTGAAAAAGTTGTCTGGTGAAGACAGTGTGCCACCAAAGACAATGAAGAACTTACTCCCATTAAAGTCTCTGTTCCATTTGGTTTGGGTCTCATTCTTATCTTCCCTGGATGTGCTTTCTCTTTCTCATTGTCAGTACTTGTTGCCAAAAGCTCTCTCCCTCTGTCACCACATGGAAGAAGTATCGTTTTAGAGGGAACCATATTTCAAATTCCTCCATACTCCGTTGCCCTGTGCCAGAAACCAGCTGTATTTTCAAACCAGTGTTCAGGGTTGGACAGCATGGTGGCGCAAACCGCTGTTTAGGCGGAATAAAATTTGCACATATTTATTCTACATTCTACAAACTAAATAATTAAAATAATAACATAAATGAAACAAAAAGAGAATAAAATGAGCTAAAGCCATAAACACATTACAAAACACAAAGAGTGTAAAATGAACTCAAATGTCATAAAACACAAGTGAAATCAAGGAAAGAAGATGAGTTATAAGTGGAGCCAGGGGGCGCCCTGGTAGCACACCTGGTAGAGCTGGTGCCCCATGTACCAAGGCTGAGTCCTTGCTGCAGCGGCCTGGGGTTCGTCCCCTCTCTCTCCTCCCCCTTTCCTGACACTCTACAGCTGTCACTATCTATTAAAGGCAATAAAAGCCCCAACGAATATATTAAAGAAAAAGAAAGACAGAGTTTGCAGAACATAGGGCTAGGCCTCTAAGGGCTTTGTAAGTGATTGATAATATCTTAAAATCAATTCAGCCAGTATAAGGAAGCCGGGATCAGTATGATGTGATTGTGTTTCTTAGTCTCAGTCAAAATCCTTGCAGGAGATTTTTGGATAAGCTGGAGAAGGGAGAGGGACTTTTTACTGATGCCAGAAAGCAAGGAATTGCAGTACCGACTGTTATGAATGCATGAATAACCATTTCCAGATTTTTGGCAAAGAGAAATGGTCTGATCCAAACTTAGACATATATTATGTAGAGCCACTTTATTTATGTCTTTCTTTTAGTTCACATACTGTTGCTGCTTGAAAATATCAATCAGTCACAACTGGCTGCAAGTGTCACTGTTCTGGTGACCAAAGCAGAAACCACCCCTCCAGTCCCTTGAAAAATGCCTAAAGAGTGCCAGCTTCCTTTCACTGGATCCAGAATTGTAAGCATTGTATGCATTTGCATTTAGGGGTAGCATCAGATAGTATAATAGTACATGCATATTTTTTTTTCTTTGTATTAGCGTCCTCCACCCACCACTCTG